TCAGTTGCTCCTAATATTGCCAATGTGTTTGGTAACCAAGTGGCAGCAATTCTAGGAAAGGCCTTGCTTTGGGCTTGCTTCGATCCGGCAATGCAAGCGTCCGGCTTAATTCCAGAGGATGTAAAGAATGATGTTGTTGCTTCCTGGATCCAACTGAATTACAGTCTGCCTGTTGCTGACAGGTTGGATCCTGATGTGAATCCTATCAAGAAAGTTGAGCTGATTGTTAATGAGATCAGTGGACAGGTCCACTTYGATGAGCTTGCAGATCCAGACGGCGGCGGAGACCCTACTACTGGTGGAGGGATTGGGATTCGTCGGACTCAGTTGCAGTGGAACCATGCAATGTTCTCAAAGTTGTTTGCCACAGCTAATCAAGTGAATGATATTAAAAATAGGCAGATTGCAGCTGAAGCCAAGTTCAACCAGAAGCTCAATCGAGCCATCGAGCTGTCCCAAAGAGCTGCAATGGCCCCCGTAGCAAGACGGCGACTTCGAGCAGTTAACAGTGGCGCGGCGGAAGCTGCTAGCGCGAGTGGAGTAGCTGAGCTTTGCAATTGTCCTAGTGATCTTTACGTTCTCTGGAATGAATGGGAAGTGGGTGTTGGCCTAAACAAGCCTGCCAAGGACTTTACTGCTGCTGAGCGCGGCAGAGTGAAAAGCAAGTACTGCCGGAGGTTGAAGTTCTGGAGGTGTATGGAGCGGCTGATTYGTGCTGGTGCTTCTTCAGAAATAGCAATCYRAAGGATCTATTCTGTCTATGGTGGTGGTGATAGGAGAAAGAGAGTATCCTATATCCTTAGAGCATTGGCTCCCCATGAAGCTAATGGGGGACACCACATKCTCCGTGGACCGCCGGCTACTGTTGCTGCTTCTTAATCGTAGTCRACGTCGACGCACGGATGCTTCTTCTTTGTTCTTTGTTGAATGTCGAAAGTGTTTTCCTTACTACTTGTCCCCCCCTCTTATATCGAAAAAATCATAAAAATATAGTGCACTGTGTATATGTGAACTGTATTTTGCTATCCTCAACAAGAGGACCATCTTAGTAGCTGATAGGAGGAGCGTCGTGTCGTTGTTGCGTTATCGACGTGATTGTGGAGAATTACTCTCCCAACTTCGTTTTTTTCATAGAATTTGCCTTGTGCGTGATCGTGTGAGTACTTCTCATCAATAACTCTGATACTGATGGACTCCGCGCACTGTACTGTTGGCTTGGCGCACCTTGTCATTTCTACATAGTTAATGTACTGTGTCCTACAGGGTTGTATTTTTAGTTGATATATTGTTGTGTACCTATCCGGTACGAGCACGTAGCGGTATGTACGGTACGTCATGTAAGAATACTGTATGAGCATCATTGAACGAAGGGACTAATAAATGAAGTGCGGTACTAAGGATCGTTAGCAAAGGCAACCATAACATAAAATATCGAATACAAAACTTTGAAATCAATACTGCACCCAACAAATGCCCCCACAGAGAGGTACATCCAACGATAGAGGAGTCGATAGCCTCTCTGAACCACTAGTGAGTGAGAGCATCGACGATACTCTTGGAGCTGCTGCTGAATCGCCCGAAATTGCGAGTATCGCCAATAGCAAGGATATTGTTGTGCGGAAGTGCTGCAAACGTGGTGGCGAAAACGAAAACAATGTTGTCATCCGCGTAAACCACAACGTCTTTTTGAATTTATTGCTGTCAGTCCTCTACGGAATCTCGAACTCGTTGTGGAGCGGGACGGCATATTTGGCCTTTCTGAAAAAGATGGGCCACGGTGGTAACGGCCCAGTGGGAAACATCGAGGCAGTTTCGGGGCTTGCCTCGCTGGTCTGTGCGCTGCCCATAGGTTATTTTGCCGATAAGATGGGGAAATCGATCGTGATTCGTTCAGGCGGAATGTTGCTCTTCACAACCTCGATCCTCCAGATTGGGATTTTACAATGGGTGGGTACAGATTTCGATAAAAATGAAGACGATGAAGACTCAAACAGCAATAGGAACAATACAGCATTGTGGCTCATGGGAGCAATAATGGTGCTTTGGGGACTAGGAGATGGAGTCGTAAACGGGCCATGTCAGGCACTATATGCCGATTCGACACCTGAAGGCCAGCGATCAACGTATTTTACCTATCAATTTGCATGCTACCTTTCGGCCTCTGCGGTGGGTCCTCTCGTATCCATTGTTCTCTTCCAGGTCCTTGGAGATGAATGGGATTTATACCACCTGAGACTTGTCATCTATACCGGATTGGGAATGGAAGTATTCAATTCTTGGTTGATGATGCTCTTTGACGACAGCAAAGCATTGGACGAAGACCAAGATACAGTCGAAAGTACCGATGAGAACGATGGTGATGATGCTTCGTTTGACTGGTCGAACGAAGGGATAGAACAGAGATTGCCCTCCGAACGTGATACCACCCCAACGACCCTCCAAAAGCGGCAAGAGTGGATCCCCTATCTAGTGTTCTTTTCCGGACTCGTGTCCTCCCTCGGCAGCGGAATGACTGTGAAATTCTTCCCACTTTTTTTCAAGGACGAGATCGGTATGTCACCCTCACAGGTGCAAGTAACATATGTTCTGGTCCCGCTGGTGATGATTGTCATGGGATCGCTCTGCACGAAGATTGCCAACGCCGGTGTGGGCCGAGTCCAGACCACCGCACTTTACGAGGTCGGCGGGATTTCCCTCCTTCTAGCCATGGTGGTTTTCAAAAACTACCTGGACGTCCATCCGTTTCTATTGGTGCCAATTTACGTGATGCGAACCAGTCTAATGAACGCAACGTATCCACTCCAACAATCAATCCTGATGGATTTCGTTCCGAAAGACAAACGAGCTCGGTGGAAGTCCCTAGACTCCGTGGCATCCTTTGGTTGGTGCGGATCGGCGGCCTTTGGCGGCTGGCTTGCGGATAAGTATGACTACACTCACACGTTTTTGCTGACAGCCGTTTTTCAGAGTGTGTCGCTTGGGATCTGGTGCTGCCTGCTGCCTCTTGTTCCCCGCGTGGAAGGTAGTGAGTTGGAGGAAGACGGTGAGGAAGGACCTCTGCCTGACCAAGCCGAAGCGGCAGATGATCACAGTCCGGGATTTAGCACAACAGAAGAGAATGGCCTAACGGAGCTGTCAGAACCCCTTCTATAGCTATAATAAATTAGAGTACTGATAGCCATTTACAGTAGTGGCTGATACATCGTACTATTCACGTCGTTGAAGCATGATGTTAAATCCGACAATATACTATTACTGTGAATCCATTAGCATGAAGAACCGAAACGGTGCTTGACAGAATCAAGAATTTTCGACAAATACATTGGGGTATCCCATGAACACGAAATTCGGCCCTGTGACATCAACGACCTTTTGATGGTAGCCGACTTAGCATTTCGTAGTACTTCATAAAGGGCGCATCCTGCAAAAAGCAAGATTTATCGCTATATGCCTGCCAGCTTATGAAACGATCCCTTTCAGCTCAATTTCCAAGGTGTTGCTGTCTCCACCGCACTCCTCCAAAGAGTCGGAAGATATCACTTCCGCGTCGCCACCATCAGTCGTTTCCCTGAAAATTCCATCTTTCCTTATGGGAGTACCTTCGGTGCACTCCTTGACGATATTGTTGCTGTGTTTGCCTCCGTGCCTTTTTTCGAGGGCCGGTGAGGGGGCCATCTCGTACACGACCACACCACTTAGGACTGCGGCCAGGGCGCAAAAGAAAAGTGGGCGGGGGACAATTTTTTCACCGAACACGGAGAAGACCACGGACCATAAATCCCCGGTCAGTAGCGAAAGATTAAAAAGTGCGGCCTCCGAAACCATCAAAAAGCGGGAAGCCCCTAAGTAGCTGCAAATTGTCACGCCTACAAAGGCGACCAGCAGCCACATGGCCTCTGCGGTAGAGCAAGCGCGCAACTCATCGCCGTCAACAGAAATCCCAACGGTTTCACTAAGGAATCCCTGGATCTCAACCCGTTCAAGCACAAATGCCTGCAGTATGGCAATTATGGATCCACATGCCCCAATCATCCCGAGGTATTCTGTCGTGTCCCTTGTCTCGCTAAGGGTGACCTCAGTGAGAACGTCATTAAGACCATATAGGAGGCCACCGACGATTGCACAGACGTCCCCGCGGAGTTTGTGGGTGTAGGATGATGAATCGGTTGTTTCTATGATCTCATTGTCTGACTTGTAATCCTGCAAGACATTAAAGACCACCCCGACCATGCACAGGAAAACCCCTAAATAGTGGAGAGCTTGGTACCGACGTGTGGATTGAAAGAAGAGACTCGATAGAATCATTGCGGAAGGAATGGCTAGGGAATCGAATAGGGTGACCGAAGTCAGTGTCGTGTAACGAAACGCCAATATGGTTAGTGCATTGGCTTGTGTATCGCAAAAGGCCAGGAGAAGGTACCAAAAATACGTTTTTTTAAGCAGCGGTTTGCTGACCCTCATGCTACTGATGTTGTCATTAGTAGTCTGACTATGTATGGGGTGGACGGCATCCTTTTCGCCATGTTCTACAGTGATAGGAAGTCTCTCCTCAGACCGTTCAGGTCGGCAATAACTGGCGATGGCATGGCCATTAGCATCAACGTTTGAATTGCTATATGCATGTTGGTCAAAAACTACTACTTCTTCTTCAGATTCCACAGTCGATAACCCATCCGACTTGCTCTCACGCCATCTTCTGAACCAAAGTAAGGGGCAATGGATCGCAAACAGCCCTAGATAGACTAATGACATCGCAAATGTGGGGGCTGAGAGTCCACACTGGAGGTGCAGGGTGGCCTGTGCGGCTCCTCCGCTGGCGAGAAGCAGGCTCAGCACCTGGCCAAGCAAGAGGATCCATCGATTTTCCCATAGCCGAAAGAAGAACTCCGAAGTGGAATACGGCGACTTGCATTTCGAATACATCGTCGCAGAGGTGGAAGGAATAGATTTGCTGTTTTCGTCGCCATGCCCCCCTGTGCTAACACACGTATCGACATCCTGAGCCATCATCATCCCAGCAACAGCTGGCGAAGCGTCTTCTTCGTGAGTGTAATTATTGTCCATCGATGTCAAGAAAGATAACCGTTTTCTTAATTGTTCGTACTTGTTTTACTGTATGTTGGTTGCCGAAAATATAGGATACGCCTTCTTTTTCACTTCTTTCCGTCGCTGCCTCGACCCAGCACGTTGATTTTTTATGAGAGTGTTGGGAGCGACGGACAGATGTTTACAATAAAGAGTGAGCTTATTCACTATCTACTCGTGATTTAGGCTCACACGACGAAACGAAACCAAACAATCGAGGCAACAACCCATCAAGCAAAGAAGCAACAAAGCCTTGAAGCTCATTCTTCAACAAGCTGCACAGCAAGATGGTATTATGGTAAGATGAGACTAATGAAACCAGTGAATTCAACCTTGCCACTCTCATCATGCACCACAAACCCACATGCAGCAACGCCCCAAAGAAGTGGGCGAATACTACGCAACGGATCGCCACCAAAAAAACTGTACAGTACAACAACCATCTCAAAAAAACACACGTAATCCAAACCATGATAACCCAAACCATGACAAACCTGAACCAATCCACAGTCATCAACAAACCCACATAACTGCCCCACCCGGTCTCAATAGATAACGGCCACTGCCTCCGTCGACACCGTCTAAACAAACAGCTACCACACCCCTAAGAGTACCAAAAACCTCCAAAAATTGCCAAATCCAAAACCCAACACCATCCCAAAAGAGCAACATTGCCAAATCCACAACCCTGACACCATCACAGTGCATACATGATGACACCGCATAACCAACCCACCCAGCGACCATGGCACCACAGAATCACACACTCCCCCATGACATCACCCAAAGGATGTAAACCACCAGGATGTCAACTTGACACCTACCCTGACAACCCCAACCAGAATAACACCCCAGGACCTGTCCACCACAAAACCCAACAACCCTCCCACCAACAAACCACACACAGCACAACACAACAAAAAAGGCAAACCCAACCAATAAAAAGACTCAACCCATTACACAGCAAAACCAACACACAAGACACAACCCCCCCCACCACCCCATTGATGAATCACAACACAACCTACCCATCTAGAAGACCCAACACCTGTCAACAAACACAACAATCAACCTAACAGCACACTCACCCCCATCCTCACAATACTAAACAAATTGTTTTCCCTAAAGCCAAAACCATCATTAGAAACATGACCGTCTCCGTACCCCTCTGCCTCAACACGGAAGAAGCCTATAACACAATTATAGCCCAACTCACAAACCACCCAAACCCAGGCCCTCACCAAACTGAGCACTGCACCCCTAGAACACTCCTCCAGGCCATCATCAATGGACCAGGAGTCACCTCACTCCTTGCAATTGGACACAGCAAAAACGGCGTCCACACCATCACCCTGCACCCTCACAACCCAACCATCTACACCGTAGAACGCAGTTCCCTTGCCAAAAAGGACTTAAAATGCCCACCCACCACAGGCATCCACGGAACTGAACAAGCCCTCAAGAAAAAACTGATCCCTTGCTTTCCTCACCCCCCACAGCAAGTCCATGGCCAAACAACTCCCCCTCCTTGCACAAATCGACCCCACCCTACTCCCCCTCTACATCGAGGACAACCAGCCAACGCATCCAACTGCCCTCCGCCCCAAACTCATCAGCAACAACAAGATCACACAAAACTCACCAACAGTCAAATGGCTACTCATGGCAAGGCAAGCACCCAAAAAAGGGATGACCTGGCAACAAGCTCCTTCCTCCTCAACACTGGTACACCAGCCCTCCCTTTCTCTGCCCAGCTATCAGCCCAGATCATCTCAGACCTCCAAGACATCTGGTGTTCCAGAAACCATCCTCCACAATACACCTTGTTACACCATCATGGCCTGTCCACCACAGCAATTGCTCGCAATCCCAGCATAAGACATTTGCTATGCATTCTCCATCATTGACTGTTGCAACTCCATGACCTCACACCATGTTTCGCTTAGCCTCTGGTGCCATAAGAAAAGCAACTATTCTTGCCATCTTGCGCTCAGCACCAGCAAACCTCAGCGCACACCCTGTCAACAAAGCAGCCATTCTCTGCAACATAGACCTTACAAACACCCCATCGGACCTCTATGATGCTATCCACAGCAACCTGGTGATCCTTTATGCTGCCAACACCATCTCTGCGGCCCTCCGCAACTGTCTTCTGCCCCAAGTTAGAGACCACCTAGTCAGGGACACACTTGAGGCAGCCTCCCCCCCCACAAGCTGACACCCAGACGCAGTGCTGTACGCCAGCTTGGCTACCCGGAACAACCCTGCCCCAGGACCTAACCCCAAAGTTCTTGACCTCTCTCAACATAGCAGCAATGATGTAAGCAATGGCGTAAGCAATCATGGTGCCAGCAACAATGGCAGCTCCTTCCCCATGATCTGTGACCACATCGCGCTTGCTCACAATGGAAACACACAACCTATCTACTCCATGGAAGATCTCTGTGTCATCTACCTCACCGACTTCCACAATGTGCCCAACGTGACCTCCCTGTCTTTCATGAGTGGACACACCCAATGCACAAGTGCATGGCCCTTGCCACGTGGTGTCTTTGCAACACCAATGCACAAACCACAGAGTTCTTTTGACGCCGGCCAAAACAGCCACTATCAATTTGATCATTGCCACGCACCAACCGCATCAGAACCCCCACCATTCCCCAGGGCATGGGACAATTCGTTCCAAATTCAAACCCTCCCTATCCTCCCCCTCAACCACATCATGGTACCCAACTACTTTGGCTGGCGGGGTGATATCTCCACCAACGTCACCAACCGCCTCACCAACCAGGTCATCATGGAGATCACATGCCAAGCCATCAACAACAGCGACACTCGCAAATCCTCTGTCCCCTGCAACATTTGCCACCACACCACTGTGGCCATGTACTACCCCCCCCCCCCCCTGCCACCTCCTGGCAACCACGACCACGAGTGCAGATCACAACCAACGGCTGATGCCTGATATGCTCAAATACCACTTCATGTCCCCAGCATCCGACATAGCGGATCTCATCCAGAACAAATGTGGCAGCAAGCTATTTCCCATGCGGCACAACAGCTCCCAACCAAGCCAATATAATCACCGCAAGTAACTCCGCATCCTTGCCGCCTATGAAATCCACCGCTACACCCATGAGGCGTCGGACAGCTCCAATGGCACTGACATGGGGAACTAGGACTGACACCCCACATTTCCCCAGTGTCACTGGAATACAATGCGCCTACCACCAAACAAGGAGGTGTTCCAATGGAGACAAACTCGTTGCAAAACAGTAATAGGTCAACAGTGTCAATACGCCAACCCCTAAACCCAAGACCATTACACATTTTACTACACGTAGATCTAATCACATTAATCAAATCCTAATTTCGGCAAACACTCTGAAAGTTTGATACTTACACCCTCAGACCACAAAGGTATGAACACACGGCACCACAGTGCCAAGAGGCCCAGAATGTCCCGTGGCACCAGTCAAAGAGCAATAACAGAAGAAGGAAAGACAAGGCTACAATAACTCAGGCTAAGAGCAGTTATGAACAACTGCGCTTAGCAAATAAATTTACTACAGTAATTATTTATAAGTTTTAAAATTATTCTCATTTTCAAATTGCACCTACTGTATCATTGATATGGCTCTGTTGGTGTCCTTTCAATCACCCCGCATCGCCTTTTTTGGTTAGAATGACAGCGTATGTGCTGTTCTTGTTAGCAAACTGGATCTCTCTGCTTTGCCTGGCGATGTGATGAAATTTGGGAGTGACCAAGAACAATTTCCCTCCCGATGATGCGCCTGAAAGTTTGAACATGGCAATGCGCTCTTTTGTTTCGTACTCCTCAAAGAATTCTCTGTATACACTGTCGTCGTTCGCGCTGATCGTAGCCATTCTCAGGCAGGTTGCCTGCCACCTTCCTCCCCGCAGTTTTTCCGAGACGAAACGGTGGAAATCATCGATCCGGGACCTGCCTTTTTGTGTAAGAAATTCAGGCATGTAGCGGTTCAGGGTTGCCTGGGATTCGTCCTCTTGGTAAAATATAGCAAAAAAGGCGTATTTTTCCTGTCCCTGAATTTCGAGCCGGTATGACTTGCCACCAAACACCTTGCCGCTACACATCCGTCGATCTTCGTTAGGTGCTCCCGTGGTAGACGACATCCTGTTGCTATCATTCGCCGACATGCTGAAGGAGCCGACTAGGGAAGGTGGCGGTGGGGTCGGTTTTAAACGTTGTCTTGGTGAAGCCTTTGGTGACATGTAGGACAAGGAGGGTTCAGCTTGTCCTTGTACAGCGGAGTTGAGTTTCGCAGAAGATTTGACTAATTTTTTATCTCTGCCATAATCGTCTATGGCTGTAGCGCCGTCATCATCCTCATCGACATCGTTTCTTATGTTTCCTCTCGAAGCGATTTCCCCCTCTGAATCAAGGGATGGATCGTTCTGGAGCACATGAAGAGTGCCTTTGTTTCTTAGAATACTTTGAGGCTTTCCACAAAAGACAGGAAAACTTGACGGATTTTTCTGTCGAGACTCACTTTTGCTGTCAGCTACATAATCAATTGCTGGGGACAAAAGTTTGCCTTTCAGTGTGGTGGCTGCAGCTTGTTCTCGTTCGATCTTGACATTTTCGTTTGCCAACTCGTTTCTTTTCATCTTTACCAAGGTATTAGCCTTGATATGACCTGTAAGCACATTCAGACATAGCGATATGTTTTCTGTGTTTTCAAAAATACTTTTCAAACTCAAAGCCTTTTCTCTGTATTCCCCCGATACAACACCCATAGTTTCAGAATCACGTTGAAATAGTTCGTCCATCTCGTTCTCAATTTCCCATGCCTTCAAGGCGCATAGATCTTTAACACTTGTCATTCCATCAGACTCTAAAGTTATTGCTTCTGCCGCCCTCAAAAGAGCTTTTTCGATATTCGATCTACATTTGTCTCGAACAGTTGTCTCCGGATCGAGAGATTGCGACATCTGTTCGTTGTTTTCGTCAAATTCAACACTAGCTGCCTCCTGCCTGTACAAGAGCGCATCCAAGAATTCGAACCGATTCTCGCAAATAGACGAATTGTTTGCAAACAATCTTTTCGAGAACTCCTTGTTCAGTTGGCGTGTGCAGTTCTTCTCAAGATAATCTGTGATGGTACCGAGAACATTGACATAATTATCAATTTCATCCTTTGAAGGAGATACAACAAGAGATTTCTGACCTTCTTCCAAGGCTCTTCGGACTAGCATGCCGTAGCTGTACCATTGAAGCAAGTTTTCTTCGTCACTGGTTACACTATCGATCAGTGACGATGTTTGAAACGTCTCGAAATCGGTGATGACTTTCTGAAGTCTGCTCTCCCACAACTCAAGTTTGGACATGTCGGCTCGCAGTGCATTGAACAGAATTGGACACCAGCGAATTATAATCCCGCCCACAGAATGGTGAGCACCCTTCTTCTTGAGTTTGACTATCAAACGTTTCTTTATAGAGTTTGTGGAAACGTGTATACCATGATTGGAAAAGGTCTTCGTCATGTCCTTATTAGTTTGCAAGAAGACATCTTCACCCAAAATGCAAAGCTCTCTTGCATTTTTTGCTGGTATGGCTAGAATCTTTTCGTTACTATCAGTAAACTTTGCCTGTAGGACAACAGCATGCTGAAGGTCTTCGATCCACTTCACTGCAGATCTCATCCAGTCAAATGCTGCTTTTCCTCGTGTTTCAGCCAAAACATCACCTCCGATTTCTGCGAGTGATTGAACAGAGGTCTGCATCATCGAAAACAGGGAGCTACCGGTCAATCTGTAAAGGATGAACTGACCTTTACGTCCAAGTAACGAATCGCCCTTTGGAAGAGGAGCATTGTCTTGATTGCCAGCGAAGTCCTGCGCAAGAAAGTTTTCAAGTTGGATCTCAAATTTTCTGGAGATATCTAGCATCGTTTTTACTGCTTTGTGCCTTGGCATGTCAACCTTAGTCAAAATCGGATCTTCGGCAAGCGATTCGATTTCACTCATACGGATTTTCGCATCTTTCTCTGTATTTCTTGTGTCAATAATACCTCCTCTGCGTTTATTTCCCCTTTTCGATATCATAGTACTCCGACAGACTTCGTCTTGCCACTTTTTTGCTGCATCATACAATTCCCGAACTCTTAAAACGCAAAGAATATGACCCCCACATCCAGATATTGTGTTTGGGATACGTTCATGGAGATATAATAACGAATGCCATGAAATCTTGCTTGCCCTTGATGACGCAAAGGATGCTTCTGCTTTGTGAAGCACTGGATGCTGCATAGTTCTTACAATCCAAGCAAAGTATTTTATATGTTGTTCCAATGAGCTCTCGTAGGCCTCGTTCAAGGATAAACCTGCGTTTCCCGATGACCGGGTTTTCCACATTGATAGCATTAATTTAAGATTGTTCAAATGCTCTCTGATTTCTTTATGATTGTCCAACAATGACCCACGCAACAAATCTTTCGTCTTAGCTAATACTTCCTTTATGTCTAACTCCGAATTCTGTGCCTCCTCAATACTTTGGTCGAGATCAATTAAAATCGTACTTCTTGTTTCAACCAAGGAACGAGTGTTCGGGTCACCAATCATAGTAACATGGAGTAAGACAAATGGGTTTTGGGCTTTTAATCGTTTGGCGTACGCCAATGACGGGACTTGGTCTCGTTCAATGTTTGGCTTACTGTCGCTCGTGCACCTAAAAACAAAATCCTCAACCAGAAAATGCCAGTGAAACCACAATATCAATAACAAAGGATATCCTTCTTTTTCATCTCTACAATTCATGCGCAAAAAGAGCGAACTAACGAGCTGGTGTGCATTGATTTTCTCTGCAGACGGGGCCCTTGATGTCTTCCGTATGCGAAAACGTGTTTGAAGAATTTCCAAGGATCGCTTTGAATTGACTGAGATGCGCCCATTAATTCCATGTACTTGGTTGTCAAAACCACAATAGATTTCCAATGCCTCTGATCCATCAGCTAAAATAGGATAAAATTCGTTTTCAATCATCTTTGAGTAAGTATCTGCAATTGCTTTTGGATTATCTTTTGTGAAAGAATGACTCAATCTTTCTGAAACGACAACAGCCGCAGACTTAATTTTCCCGTACCATACAAGTAAGTCTATTGTTGCATCAACGACGGACCTATTCGGGTTCACAATTATTCCTCTCGGGCGCTGATCTCTCTCCTTCATCATCAAGGGCAGCACATCCGTAAAGGAAACGTTGTCGTTTTCGAGGAGCGTGGTATAGATATGTTGTGACCATCGAAAGGATTCTGATTTGATTCTGTGCAGACGCTCAATATATCCATCGATCTTGATCTGTAATCCTGGATACTCTTCAATTAGATCAACGATTCTTTTAATATCTACCATGGCTGGGATTTTTGAAGTTGATAGAAGTTGACCAGCATTCACATTTCCGTGCGTTCTAAGGCAAAAGATCACAGCTTCAGCACGTTTTTTCCACGAAGACGCTGTAACATACAACTGTGTTATTTTGTTGATAGCTTTTTCACAATCAGGATGTGAGTTACTCGAAATAAACCTGCAAACTACATTATCGGTGTCGCTGTCTGACTTGACACCTTTCGTCAACTTTGCCCGTGTGGGTGAAAGTCCTTTTCGAACCGCTTGCAGGCTGTTGTATTGGTTTTCTAAATCGACAAATGAATAGGCATCATTGTCATCGGAAGAATTCAATCTGCAATCAGTTGTGCCCCTTACATCTGCATACCACTTTAAGAGGTCAATTCGAGCTGCAATCTTTTCTTCGAACGGAAATATCAGAGAGCATTCTTTGCATTTCGCATATAGTGTATTTAGAAAAGTCAGATGGGAATCTCGTTCTGGACTGTTTGAAATATCAATAGTGACTACTGACGTGAGAAAATTATTTTCTCGCTTTTGAATCTCATCGGAGGAGCTGGTCAATATTTTTTGAAACTCCAAAATACTCTGAATCGAAGCGTCGCGATGTTGAGAAATTTGAGGGAAATCCGAAAGAATGGGTATAGTTCTCGGATCTGGCAGCAAATTGATCGGTTCTATTTGTGACATTAATAGTTGAAGAAACGAAATTCTTTCTCTCATTGATTGGGCGTGCTGAACGTCAACGAACCAAGCTCGAAGTGCGATTGCTTTTGAAAGGTCATCTCGGGTTATAATCAGTTGATGGTCGTCTCTGCTCAGAAATTTAACATTGTAGAGTGATGATTCTGGAGACATCATTTGAATTAGAATGTCTGAAAGACCGGACAGAATTTCGTCCTTATCTTTCTTGTAGGATTCTTCATACGATACTAATTTTGTCATTGTTGTGAGACTCTTGAGTAATTTCAATGCTTCACTCTGGTTCCTTGCGATGTCTCCTAGCTTTGCTTTTAATTTGTCAACTTCATCAAACAAGTTGAAACGAGAAAGAACCTTATTCATCCTAACGGATGATAAGCACGATTGTATTTGTTGATATGTGAACATTTCTTCTGTTTCTTCATTCTCATCATCCGACAAATGGCCCGTAATGTTACCAAAGCCCCCGCCCAACACCGAATGATCTGTATCGTTTCCATTGTTATTGATACCCCCCAAGATGCGTCCTGCGGTTCTTTTCCAGCTAATCAGTGGATTGGCAACAAGATGTGATAGAGACCACAGCATGCTCGCAAGAGTTGTTACGTAGCCGTAGTGCATTGATTCTGAAAGGGCTGCAATGAAACTATCGATGTAAATCATAGAGAGGACATCTGTGTCGACCTTCGAAGCTGCCAAGAGGACCTTTGATTTTCCCTCATCGATTTCTTCGTCTATATCCATCCCCCCCAACACCTTCCTCCTTCGTTTCGTCCGACGAGTACTAGAAGCTCGTGCTGTAGCTTGCTGCCGTTTGTTGGACGCACCAGAAGAGGTGATGTCAATCATGGTCGTATTGACAATTGTGTCCTTTCCACACATAATATAATCTGTCATGAAGCCCGAGAAAGTCAATTTCCCAAGATCCAAAGTTTCTTCTGTCTCTCCTCCGTTGCTATCGTTATTGTTAGGAGTGCTAGTATCGAAATCACCACTCCCATCCATGCCGTCTCCAAAATAGTACATGAGAAGATTCCATGACTTGCAGTACCATGAACAGGCTTGAGCCAAATCTTTGGAACATTGAACTAGATAATTGACGTAGCCTTCAGTTGGATTCCTCAGTCCGTCTGTGAAGAGTTCCATTCCAGAATGATTCTCGATTTTCGATAGCTTTTTTCGAAGGTGAATTTGTGATTCCAAGTGATAACGTAGACCCTGAATGCGTCGAAAGTCCCAGTTGGTGGGCAAGGATGCCAAACTCTTGCTGTTTTCGGTATCAATTCCGTTCAGTACACTGGCCGCTCCGGTTATTTTAGATTTTATTTTCCGCAAGCTTGCTTCGTCTTCTAGTGTACTGGTATCCGGTGGAAGATCAAATCCATCTTCTTCCATATTGTACTCTTTGGAAGCCGCGGCAGGTGGGTTAAGTAGAGCCATAGTACGTTGGACCCAAGCTCTAGCACTCGGTCGTACCTTTCCGGGGACCAAGAAAATCTCGTATACATCTTCATCACCAAGAAAGCGTACCCTGAATTTCCACCCATTTCTCCCGATGGTTCTTATCGTGCTAGTATCGTCAATTATTTCTAAAACGCGACCGTCGTACCAATCGTCAATAACACTTTCTTCGTCGTCGGCATCGGTATTGCAAGTGACCTTCCTATCCTTCTCTTCAACCTTGATGATCTCTTCGTTCTCTTTTGATGCTGGTCCCATTTTATCTCCAACCATTCCCATAGCTGCTTCCGACGAGAGCACGAAATCACCGTCATGATCACTGTCGATATGACATGGTCTACTTGCAATTCCACTACTTCGACTCCTGATTGTACCCTCTGGTTTATCGGTGGAATTAGATATAGTTCGAGGATCTTCAATCGTCTCTTTCTTTTTATACTCGGTAGCTTCTTGTTCAGACAACGTCGTAGCTCCTAACGCAGCACTAGCAATGTGTGGATTCTCTAGCTGCTGGCCTGCATCTTCTTCGATGCCGTCTTGTTCTTCTTGCCAAAATATCTCCCAATCTCGTCCTACTAAATTCAAAGCCCATTTTCTATAGTCAACGGCCGACAACTCTGTACTGCGTTTTACTTTTGTTTCCATTTCGTGCTGCTGTGGAAAAGAACAATGAACTTTTTCTGGACCTTTTGTTTTATTCCTCTTACCGTACGGTCACCGGAACAGGATGAGTTTGAGTTTCGGTCCGCACGGACAGCGCAGTTGTTCTTACAGGGCCCTCCGTTATTTTCGGCGCAAGACTGATTTAGACCCAAACGGTGGCACAGGTGTTCACGAGGGGAGCGAAAACGGTTTTGGGCGTTAATTTAGAGTTAGGGTTAATACCAAAATTAGGTAGGAATCAAGCAACCTGATTGGCTAATTAGACAGATCAAAATATCGAAAACTGTACAGTAGACCCCTGATGTCCAATTTTGCCGTAGAATTCTACGTGGAATTTGTACTAGGAATGAGTATTTGCTTGTTTTTTTGCTTGATTTGGCTCACGTTATCAAGCAGCAGGCCTTACTCCTTCTTGTAGAACAATGAAGCTACGGTATCCTCCTCATTCTGTGTCTGTTGGCGTCACTATTGATGGAACCAAACAACTCTGCTGATTGTAGTCCACGATGGTTGCTGTCACACTAACTGACATTGTATAGTAGGCTAACTACTAGTAGTGTTACCGTGGTCGTGGAAGATGTAACAGACACCAAAAATGGTTTATCCTTCCACGGTAGCCTACACCAACAAGCAGCTTGTTGTTGCTGTTCTTGCTTCATCGCACTAGAACTGTACTCATATTGACAGAGGAAAGCTCTCATAAATTCAATCCTAGCCAGACGAAAACTACCATGGCTGCTACAGACAACAACATAGGCTTGTTGTCACCAGAGGAAACGCAGGCTCTTTGTTACACTTTGAACAAGATGGGAAATGAACAATATGATGCAGGCATGTCAGCAACTGGCAAAACTACTACAAAGAGCGTAGATTCAGAAGCAGGGGGGAATCCTGCTGAGGATGCAAATGTGATCAGCTCTGAAGATACTGGTCATCTCAAGAACAAGAAGGATGGAAACAGCAACAGCTTCAAAGATACCTCTGCTCCTCCATGTCCTCCTCCTCCTCCTCCACCTTGCTACAACAATGATCATGCAGATTGCAAGAGCGCTAAAGATACTTCTGCGGGGGCCGCTGCAGAAGAAGCTGCTGCTAAGAATGCTGCTGGTGATGATGATGACGTTCCTCAAGATGCTGCTGGTGATGATGATGGCGTTCAAGATGCTGCTGATGATGATGATCAAGATACTGCTGCTGACGCCACCGCTGCCAAAGCAGCAGCAGCTGCTGCTAATACAACTGAAAATGATGAGGGGGAGGACAGAAATGAGGACAGCCAGGAGAATGACGAGGAAGATAGTGCAAAGACAGTGCTGGAACCATTATTTGGAATTCCGATGGTGGAGACTGTGAACTTGGATGATGATGATGAGGAGGAGGAGATGCAAGAGGACCACGAGGACAAGATACACTTGCCTCAGAGGAAATCCAATCGGATCAAGGAAAGGCTCAAAGCTGAAGCAAAAAAAGCAAGAGAGCTTCTTTGTTGAAAGAAAGAGCTTCTTCAAAAAAGGATCGGCTTAAAGAAGCAACACAGGCTGGAAGAGAAATATGAAGAGCATTTAAGGCAGCAGGGAAGCTTGATAAGCTCAAAGAACTTACTTGTCCTGTCCTCGAGAGAAAAGGATCTCAAACAACCTACACACTCCAGAGCAGGCAGGTGCGCTCCTTGCCCACAAGAAAGAGGAGTGAAGAAGCAATGAACAAAGTGTAGGAGAAAGAAAAGTTGCAGAAGAAACCAAAGGCACAGGGGGGGGAACAGCGAATGAGACTCCAAACAGTAGCAACAACAAAAGCAAAAGAAGAAAAGTAGATTCAAGGCCAACCTCAGTGAACTGTGTGAAGGATTGCACTGTTTGGGCTAAGTTTGCTGTAACTGCAAAGCATCTTAGCAAATTGCAGCATTGCTCCACATGAGAGAACAGGATCAATCGGAACAAGAAGCCCAAATCACAGCACTTCATGTTTACATATGATGAGATGGTGCAGAAACCCCACTGTTCAGACTACAGCAGAATCAGAAAACCTGATGGGCCTACTTCTATTTTCCTCTTCCCAGAAGATTGCAAATTGAAAGAATTGGGTCAACGACTAATCAAAATTGGAAAAGAAATGGTTGGAAAGACCGGAGAAGGGTATCACTGTACTAATGATCAACAGGAATATTATGATCTAGTGTTTGGTGTAAGGGATAAGAAGTTGAATTGTTAGTTTATAATTCTTTTAATCAGTTGATTTAGTTATGATTAGTTTCTATTGCACCCAGTAGCAAGTGTCCTCAAGAGTAGTAGTGAATACTGGTAACAGCCATTGCTGACGCTTCCAGCATCTGTCACTCAAGATTGCCCATAGCAGCATTGGCAGTGAAAGCTTGGGTCATTGATTTTACAGTCACATCCCTCAACAGTGAACGCAAGGTCAAGGGAAGTGACAGCAGCCAGCACTGCTAGGAGCAGGCATTGCCACCAATACTAGTTGTGCCAGGATATCTTCACAATGGTATGGATAGGGACAGGGGTCATCATGCTGCCATCTCTTGTTACTCTTCCCCAGTTGAAAAAAAGGAGCGAATCAAAGGCCCGATTTTGTTGTATTTGTTTATTGAAAACTTGAAGATTAGCCTCTCCGGAAAGCCAGAACCGAAATCTCCGGTGATCCTCATCCTTCCAAACAAATGGATTCTATTTGCACTAGCCACTTGCCTAAAGTCGACCCAATAGCTTAATCCTTGGCCATTGAATATCCTTAGGATGCTTTCGTTATCCACACAAAGGAAAGCTTCATCAGCAAAACGCGTGGGTCGTGCTCCATCTAAGAGGTCTTGGAAACACATGGCGCAATAAAATATCTTAATGTTGGCAAACGTCATGATAGGGGATCCTCTGTTTTTTGTTTGTGGTATCTGCATCAGAATGATGGTGTGGCCTCTGGACAAGATAAGACTTCATAGGACTGCAACACCAGCAAAAAAATTGGTTCAAAGAAAATTTTGGTTCACTTCAAAATTTGAACAATGACAGGCAGGCGTTGATGGCAAAAATTTGACTTGTTCAAACACCAAGCACTCCATTGAGATTCTGCATGGTTCTGTGGATATTGAACCATAATTTGAGAACTGGGAAAAAGAAATCAAATTACAAAATGAATAGTACTACTAACTCAATCCCAGAATTTGTTGAGATTGGAAATGGCACACCCAATATCAAAATTTGCAAAATTGTCTTGAGCAACTTCAGTGGTGAACTGATCGCAAGAGATATTATTGGGTTGACAAGATACAAGGGTTGTCCCATTCCTCCTACTACTAAGCAACCGCCCACTGAGTCCAATGTATCCAGAAGCCCTTCCTTCAATCATGATTCTGATGGATCCACCACGGAGAAAGTGGATGGAGCTAACATAGAAAGAAAGACATCCTTGCAGCCACCGGTTGAAGAGGGAATTGATCATCCAGAGCAGGAGGATAACAGTTCAGTCAACCTCTTGGAAGACAGTGGTGGCAGCAATGAAGGCACTGTTGATGATGAGGAGAGTACTGTTCACAAGTTGGCACAAAATGCTGAGCAGCAGGAGGATCTTGATGTTTCTGTTGCTTACAATGACGACATTGAGTACGAGCCTGAGTTATCCCAGCAAGTCAGTTATTGGAAGTATTAACAGTCATTTAGCTTACAGTTATTCAAGTAATATTAATTAAGTCAATTGCATTACACAAGAAGCTTCCATAGAAACCAACTTTTTTGTATTGTCTGGAACACATGGATATGTTGCAAGTCGCACCTCCAAGGTGCGCGGAGCTTCAACAGCTGTTACTTCATCCACCTAGAATAATGGTGGGAGATTGACAAAAATTCAACTGGGACTGCTACTACATACTTCTACTATTTTAGTACGTAGAAATGATACGTAGAACTACTCCGTTCCTCAAAATTCAATTCAATAAATTCTTTTTGCTCTCTGTTGAAATGAGCTATGCACGAGATTACGTGTACCTTCTTAGTAGGTGTTAAGTGTGTATGAAAATTGAATTATAAGATTAGAATTATTCGAAGATTACCAAGCGCGTTC